TGTTTGAGACACAATTTTGTGTTAATTTATTGTAGCAGCTCTAGGAAACTAATATATCTGGTAGGTTTTTCTGACTTCTGATAGAAATTGTGGGCAGACTGTGAGCAGATTGAGTAACTTTAAAAAAGGGGTGACATGGGGTTAGGCTTTGGCATGGTAATCTTGATGAAAATGTAAGGAGTTGTGAAAATCCAGAGTGCTAGAGTAGGCAGAGTTTAAATAAACTGAGGAATTACAAGTTATAGGCTTGGACCAGATTCAATGTGAAGAAAAGTTAGGAAAAAGAAGTTGCAGAGAGAAACAACAGGTTCCAATTCCAGGCAGTGGGGCAATTCCTTGTGATTATAAGGTCCAGCTTGTGGGTGCCTGAAGTACTGAAGTTCCTTCATGTTGAGGAAGCTGAGGAATTCTGAGGCCAGGGAGTTAGAGAATACAGGCACAAAGGCTGAATGGACTCTCTACCAATGGTGGTGGGAATCAGATGTGATGAGTTATTGTATGTGTCAACCTGACTGGGCTTTGGGATGCCCAGAACACTAGTAAAACATTGTTGCTAATTATGTCTAAGAAGATCTCCAGAAGAATCTGTTCAGTATACTGAACAGATCACTTTGTGATCCCACCTGATCTCATTCCACCCAAGGATGGGCATCATCTGATTTGTTGAAGGTGTGGAAAAAAAGTCAGAAGAATGCCAAATTCACATTCTTTTCTTGAGCTGAATGATATTCATCTTCCACTGTCTTTAGACATCTGCCTTCCTGGCTCTATGGCTTTTGGACTCAGATCCAGATTTATACCATTTGTCCCCCTCCCCTGGCCCCCTCCATTCTCAAACCTTTGGATTCAGTCTGAACCACACCATAGGGCTTCATGGTTGCCCAACTTGGAGATGGCCAATTCTGGAATTTCTCAGGCTTCATAACTGTGTAAACAAGTTCTTACAATACATCTCCTCAGTTTATGAATATATGCAAATATGTACACACACACACACACACACACACAGGAAAGAAATATATATGCGACATATGTAAATATCCTAATGGTTTTGTATCTCCAGAAACCTTGGCTAACATAGCAGGGGAGAGGGGATATCATAGGAGGACGGAAGTCAGGGAATGCTGAAAGGGTGGTACCAACAGATGGCAAAAGCTTCTAAGGAAGAACAGCTTAGTAAGGGTGGAAGAATAGTCTGGAAGTACTTCTGGAAAAAGGGACAGCTTAATGCTGCTCATTTCCCACAGAACCCAAGGAGTCAGAAAAGATGTGGGTTTTCCATGATGGCTGAAAAAAATGTGTGGTCAGAGGAAAACAATAACAATTATTATTGTTCCATATAAACAAAAATGATTTTATGTGGAACTTCAGCATGAACACTTGTCATCCATCTACTCTCAGCAGTTAGAAAAACAAAGTCCAGAAGAAGAATTTACAGGGCCCTCCCTGATGGTACAACGGGTTAAACATCAGCACTACAAGTAGCCACTGCCAGCTGGCTCCTCTACTGTGAGTTCAATCCCCAGCCCCAGAGGTGATCCGCATAGCACAGCAGACCTCTCCTGTTTTGCCTGCTGCTCCCCTCAGCAGTGTACTTTGTTGATTTGCCTGTTCTGCTCCCCACTCTGTCTCTGGTGAAACCTCTCACCACCCCTGCTCCTCTGGCCTATACATCAGTTCTGTATGCATATATAAATAAATCTTAAAAAATTAGTTTTTCATTTTTCTTCAGTTTTTAAAGTAGAATAATCATGAGATGTGCGTTCTTAAAAAAAAAAGCTATCTTAAAATGTTACTGTATCACAAAAACACTGATTGAAAAAGATACCTGTACCCCCATGTTTATTGCTGCTTTATTTACAATTGGAAAAACATGGAAGCAGCCCAAATGCCCAAAA